GTCCCTCTATCTATGAGCGAGTCGGAGTTTTACGGCCGTTATTTTCTGGTTCCAAAGAAAGACGGCGGCCTCAGACCAATCTTAGACCTCAGATTTCTGAACAAAGTTCTCATGAAGAGACCGTTCAAAATGCTCACTATCAGAAAACTCCTCCCGCATGTGCGCCAGGGGGACTGGTTCATTTCACTAGATCTGAAAGATGCCTACTTTCAGATTCAGATAAATCCCCTTCACAGGCCATTCTTACGTTTCGCCTTCGAAGGCCAGGTTTATCAATACACCGTCCTCCCGTTCGGCCTATCCCTAGCACCCCGCACGTTTACGAAGTGCATGGATGCGGAGCTCGCCCCCCTGCGGAGTCAGGGGCTGCGAATACTGAACTATTTGGACGACTGGCTGATTTCGGCACAATCACAGAGAGAGCTACTGTCTCATCGTACAGTTCTCCTCGACCATCTGAAAAGTTTGGGCCTCTCTGTCAACTGGACAAAGAGCGCACTTCAACCCAGTCAGACTATCTCCTTCTTGGGTATAGAGCTAGACTCGGTCTCAATGACGGCTCGTCTGTCTACACAGCGCGCGCGCCGTGTTCAGCGTCTCGCCGCATCTTTTCAGATGAACAGACTCACACCTCTGAAAACTTTTCAGAAGGCGCTGGGTTACATGGCCTCAGCCTCCGCAGTGCTCCAGCTGGGGTTACTGCGCATGCGCCCGCTTCAGTTCTGGTTGAAGAGCCGTGTGTCTCACCGCGCGTGGACCACGGGCCGCCAGCTGATAAAGGTAACGCAGACCTGTATCACAGCTCTGCAGCCATGGACCATGACAGAATGGTTTCAGCGGGGCGTTTCCATGGGGACCTTTTCTCGCCGAAAAGTCATTTCGACAGACGCATCCAACACGGGTTGGGGTGCGGTCTGCGAGGGCTCACCGGCCTTCGGCCCCTGGTCAGCTCAGGAGAGTCTCCTCCACATAAACTGTTTGGAGATGCTGGCGGTCGAGAACGCGCTCACGCGTTTTCTGCCGCGCATTCACGGTCACCATGTGCTGATCCGTTCGGACAATATGGCCGTGGTCTCCTATCTAAACCGTCAGGGCGGAGTCAGATCCAGAAATCTCTTCCGGCTGACAGAACGCATCCTAGTTTGGTCTCAGTGTCACCTGTTCTCGCTCAGAGCGACGCACGTGCCGGGCCATCTGAACGACGGTCCAGACAGTCTGTCCAGGAACCCCATTCCCCCCGGCGAATGGTCCCTGCACACTCTTACAGTCCAAAAGCTGTGGCGAATATTCGGTAGAGCAGAGGTGGACCTCTTCGCCTCAGAAAAAAACACCCACTGCCCAATATTTTTCTCAAAAGGCGAGGACGCGCTAGCCCAGACCTGGCCCAGCCGCCCGCTTTATGCATTCCCTCCGGTTTCTCTGCTACCGCAGGTGCTTCAGAGAATCAGGGAAACACGCCACTCGGTGCTCCTCATAGCCCCGCGTTGGGAGGGTCAGACTTGGTTTCCGGAGCTCACTCAGCTGTCACAGACAGCCCCGTGGCCCATTCCAGTCAGAGCAGATCTCCTCTCCCAAGCTCGCGGCACGATCTGGCATCCCCACCCAGAGCGCTGGGCGCTTCATGCGTGGGTGATCAACGACTACCCGTTGCTTTGCCAGAAGGAGTTTTAAACACGATCATGCAGGCTAGAGCGGCTTCTACTAGAAGGCTCTATGCGTCTAAATGGTCTGTGTTCTCTAAGTGGTGCACCGACAGAATACCTCAAATACCTTTCGCTCAAAACCATTTTTCTGCTCGCGTCAGTGAAGCGTGTGGGAGATCTTCACGCGCTGTCCAGTAGCGCTTCCTGTCTGGAGTTTGGGCCCAATGACTCCTTAGTCGTTCTCAAACCTAGACATGGTTATGTCCCAAAAGCGATTGGTACCCCATTCAGGGCACAAGTTATTTCCCTATCGGCTCTGCCTGCATCCGATAGCGAATCTGACTCTAATCTCCTGTGTCCGGTCAGGGCCCTGAGATTATACTTTACTCGCACTGCTCCGGTCAGACGAGCTGAGCAGCTTTTTGTTTTGTTCGGTGGGCGCACCAAAGGGTTGGCCGCCTCGAAACAGACTCTGTCCAGATGGATAGTTGATGCCATTGCAGCCGCATACGCGTCAAAAGACCTGCCATGCCCTCTGGGCATCAGGGCCCATTCCACTAGAGGCATGGCCTCATCGTGGGCATGGTCCAGCGGAATTTCCATTCATGATATTTGTGTGGCAGCGGGATGGGCTTCCCCCTCCACCTTTATCAGATTTTACAATCTGGAAGTTCCCGCCTTGCAGGCTAAACTACTAGCAGTCTAGTATGTTACAGCTCTTCTGGTTGAGCTGCACTATAGGGAGTTATTCACGCAGACCGGTCTCGTTCTGTCCCTCCTTATCATGTGCTTATGTACTTCACAATCCCCGGCCCGCTCCGCTGGCCTTTGTCACATGTACATATTTTATTCCCACTCATAAGGGTTCCCCCTGGGACTCATAGTGGATGCTTAGCACGCACGGCGTTGACCAGGTGTTCCCGCAGCGTAAGCTAGCTTACGCAATACGAGAGAACCTCTCGTAAGAGAACGAATCGGTTACCTAACGTAACCTCGGTTCTCTCTAGATGAGGGAACGAGTATTGCGTTCCTGGCCGTGCTTGTGCTACTAGCGTTCTCGCTTCATTCTATGAAAATCAGAGTTTGCAGCCTGAGAGGCGAATTTATACTCTCTGGCCACGCCCGTTTCGGCGGGCTCTGAGGCAATGAGAGCAGGTCAGACTCTCATTGGCCGAGAGTTCATTCGTGTCTCCTCATAGGCTTAAGCAGTTCCCTGTGAGCGAGCCAATGAGCTGCTAGCTAGCCTGCTCATGCTCTGCTGCAGCTGAACTGCGTTGACAACAAGGGGGTAATCCATCGACCGGAAGTTGAAGTCGGCCGGGTGCCGTCATCTTGTAGCAGAACTTCACTTGCGTTAGCATTTCCATTGACTCCCATTCATTTTGGCGTCACTTTGACAGCGAATAACTTTACATCTGAGGCGTTTAAAGACTCCATTTGTCCATTATTTATTTCTAAAGAAACACGACAATGTATAAAAGGCTCCATTACCTTCTATGTTACGTTATGGCCCCGTAGAAACAGATTTAGTAAAAATAGGCTAACGATTGCGTCATAACCACTCGACTCTCTGTCGCGCTGTACAGAAATTACCGTATAGACAGAAGTAGAAACTCGCGCGCAATCGGGGGGACGTCGAGGCATAAAGTCAAGGGAGAAGCCCATAGAGAGTTGCCCAAAGCTGCTCCTGCTGCGAGCTCATGGACAGCTAATACTCACGATCTCCGGCTCTGCAAGTTTCGGAAGGGAATGATTCAGATTCCTCTTGGCACAGCTACTAGAAGATTAACGTCTGTCAGACAGGTTGCCCACGTCATCAAGCTTAGTTTGAGTCGGTTTGAGTCTGCGCGTCAGGAACGGAAGTGCTCAAAAATCGCTAAAAATGGGCTTCAACTGTCTCAACTGAGTTCCAATGAGATGGCTCTGTCCATTTCTTTTACTGTCTATGGTTGACAATGGATACAAAATTATAGGATAATTTTTGGCTTCAATTTCTCAGAAAAGATTAATCTTTCCCGCAGCGTAAGCTAGCTTACGCAATACTCGTTCCCTCATCTAGAGAGAACCGAGGTTACGTTAGGTAACCGATTCGTTTTAAGGCACACTTTTTAAGGATTGAAATAAAAAAATTAAATCATTTTTAAATGCCTCAAAACATGGTGAAACTTTAAGTAATCTACATATGTGTAAATAAAACTTGGCTACAATCAACATATTACACAAAAATTCAATCTTTTTGTTTTGCAAAAAGACACAGAACTTAACCATGTGATAGTAGTCAAAGGCAGGTTTTGCATTTTTTATCTTCAACCACTCATACAATCTGTCCCAAAAGATGACAAAAAAAGATGTTCCTGAATCAGATGTTCAATATCTTTTTGACAGAATGTACATATATCTAAATTAAACCTTAAATGATGATTATAAATGACTATGTAAGTGTGTTGCGATCACATGATCAGGTGTAGATCTGCCCTCTGCTGCTCATGTGAGTCCATTACAGGCGGACTAAAGAAAACACTGTGAAATGTGAAACTCTAGTGAGTGTGTGACTTTGCTTTTCCTTCACAGCTTTGTCTGTTTCTTATTTAAATTAACATATTAACATAAATAGTATTTCATATTGTTAGAAACATGGAAGAATGAAATAATTTCTAAGATGGAATATGAGATGAATGGTTTTAGTATGGTAGTTGTGTGAGGATCAGGGCAAGCCTGATTTCCTCTTTTATCTGTTAATTGATGACGTTCCTGTCAGGACGCCAACATGACCAGTTTCTGTTCGCTTCTGAAGACAAACCCTTTCATTTCTAAATAAGTTTCGAGTGAAAGACTGACGTCACACAGGAGGAAGAGAAGCCGCTGTTGTTTTCATGCAAATTATTTATTTGTTTATATTGGACAACTGATGTTCAAGACACAGGTCTGCATTAGTCAGAAACTGTCCTGTGAATTCAAGGGGCTTTTCTATGTTGCTTTACATCTGACTCAAAAATCTTTGCACTCATTAAAAACAACTGTAATAAAGTTCTCCATAAACTGAACAGATATTAGGCTATAATACATTCAGATGTCTGGCGGGGGGGGGGGGGGGGGGGGGGGGGGGGGGGGGGGGGTACACACACCTAATTATATGTATGCATAAAAACAAATATATAAAAACTAAAAACAAATAGGCATAGTAAAATAGTAAACTATACAGTAAAACAAAACAAAAATAAATGTAGAATATTTATAGCAGCGTCCTGGTTACAACTCAAACAACATCATTATTCAAGGCACACGCCTCCTGGATAGAAGAGCGTATAAATACAGACTGACGCCTCGATCCCTCATTCATTCAGAACAAACCCCTCCAGATCCATTCCTCACATCACATCACATCACATATCCAAGTAAGTTTTGCCTTTACAATCGTTTTCTACATTAAAACAACAATGTATCGAGTGTTTGGCACGTCTGCTTTGTTATTATGGCAAGCCGTTTTGACATTTAATCCTAACCTACTAGTATCTATTTTCATGCTACTAGTGCTTGTTTTTTAGATACTAGAATCTATTCCATTAAGCACTAGTGCATATTCTTTAGATACCTTTTTAAAAGATACTAGAAGTTATTCATTAGATGCTATTCTTATTTTTTTAAATACTGCTACTCATTAGATGGGCTACTATACCTATTAAATTGGTAGCCTAGCCTACTAGTACTTATTTATTAGATATTTATTGGATACTAGTACTTATTCATTAGTTACTAGTACTTATACTAGTAGTTATTCATTAGATAGGCTACTATTTCAATAGTGACTGGTGACTATTCTTTTGTTACTATAGCAACACATTTACATTTTTTGCCATTGACTTCTATGGGGATCTGTCATGATATCAACTATTCAGTTCTGACTTGTTGTCACGTCTTGTTTCGGTTTCGGTTTCGTTTCATGCTCTAGTTTCAGTTCTGTCATGTGATCCTCTGTTAGTAATGTGATCCTGGTTTATTGTCTTGATTGTTCACAGATGTCCCTTGTCTAGTCATTAGTCTTGTTACAACATGTTTGTGAAGTATTGTTGCCTGCAAACACTGTTGGGAAGTTTATGTCCATGTTTATATTCATGTTTAAGTCTTGAGTTTCATGCCACGCCATGCTTTTGTTTTATGTTTGATCTTGTTTTGTCTGCTATTAAACTGCACTTGGGTTCTCCAACCTTGCCTTCAGTGGACTTAGTTAAACTAGTATGTATTTATTAGATAGCCTACTATAGTAGATATTCATTATGTAGGCCTACTTATTTTTTAGATACTAGTAGCCAACTTATTCAATAGATAATAGTACTTATTCAGTAGATACTAGTACCTATTTATTATACTAGTATTTATTCCAAATGTTACTAAGATTTTTTATTTGACTAGTAAGATTTTTAATTAAACTCTACACCGTTATAGTCATAACATAAGACGAGTAAAAAAACAGTTGTGACTAGTTTTTAAGTCTATGAAATAAAAATGGTTTTGTTACCAGGCTTGTCCTAAAGAGGTCTGATGGCGGATCAGGATAATAAGAGGTGTTTCGGGGAGTACCAGTGTCCCAAATGCACGAGGAAATGGATGAGTGGGAACTCGTGGCCGAACATGGGTCAGGAGTGCACCAAATGCCACATCAACGTCCATGCTCACACACAGGTGAACAGACGCTCACTTTACACTGAAAAACAGCACTTCTGCCATTAGGAGTTTGTTTTCTGGTTGCAATACCTTAACATCCTTGAAACGAGATACTTTAGCAAAATTAAATGATATATTGCTGAATTATTTAAAGTGTAAACATAACAACCTCAGTGAAGTTTCTGCTTTAAAAAATAAGGTAAAAAAAAAACCTGATTCACCTTATGCAATCTGACTTTTAAGTAAATGCTTCTTGTTTTAAAGATGTTTATTTAACTAGAAAACAAGACATTAAATAAACAGCAACATTACACACTAAAGAAAGATGAACATGGAAAAAAAGCAGAATAGGTGCTCTTTAATAGAAATATTTCTCTAGGGATGAGCGAAGGATTTAAAATCTTTCCTCTGTGTTTGCAGCGTCCTCTGGAGAAACCCCACAGCCTGGACAGAAGGGACCCGAACAAACCACATCCTCAGGATCTCTGTGAGAAGTGTAAGCAGCTCGGACGCTACTGTGGTGACCTCTGACCCCCGGCATCCTACAGACCAGATTCATCCGCATTCACCTCGTGCAATCTGCTCCATTTTTTTCACCGCTGATGAATTAGAAAAATAAAAAATGATATTTCTTGCTTATGTTTTATCATTTGCTTATGTTTAATGCTTTTCTTTTATGAAGCTTTATGCCTCAAATGTTGCTGATTGGCTTAGGATGAGCTTGCTGTTTAGATGAGGGCAAAAGTCTGTAAGTTTCTGATAGACAGAACACAATATCTCAGAATAAAGTGGTAAACGAATGTAATCTTAGCTAAACATCTTGCAGTGTGTGGGCTAACACCTCAGAGTGTGAAAACATGAAAACTAGAAATGTTTGTGTCTCGTGTGTCTGCTTCGATGCAATATAGCACACTTACTATAAGCCAATAAGCAACTGTTTATTACGGAGATTAATATCTGTACAGGTCAGTCTATACCTTGGACTCAGATCTTGCTCTTTCGCACCCTGTCTTTTCAAAGAGAGATCTCTCAAACAACTTGCTGGCCCTCAATTCTCATTTAATATGCAATATGTACATACACTGAACAAAATTATAAACGCAACACTTTTGTTTTTGCCCCCATTTTTCATGAGCTGAACTCAAAGATCTAAGACTTTTTCTATGTACACAAAAGGCCTATTTCTCTCAAATATTGTTCACAAATCTGTCTTAATCTGTGTTAGTGAGCACTTCTCCTGTGCCGAGATAATCCATCCACCTCACAGGTGTGGCATATCAAGATGCTGATTAGACAGCATGATTATTGCACAGGTGTGCCTTAGGCTGGCCACAATAAAATGCCACTCTAAAATGGGCAGTTTTATCACACAGCTCAACGCCAAAGATGTCGCAAGTTTGGGAGCGTGCAATTGGCATGCTGACTGCAGGAATGTCCATCAGAGCTGTTGCCCGTGAATTGAATGTTCATTTCTCTACCATAAGCCGTCTCCAAAGGCGTTTCAGAGAATTTGGCAGTACATCTAACCGGCCTCACAACCGCAGACCACGTGTAACTAGTGGTGGGCAGATCGAGGCTTTGTGAAACACTGAAACAGTTGAAGCAAATGTGCCGTATTGAGTCGAGGCTTCGAAGCACCGTCTCCACAGGGACCCCTAGTGGTCAGAACAGTGGAAATGCAACAAAAACCCAGGCCAAACATGCATATTAAAAACCCATTTCACAAATCTATTGCAAATGTTTTATTGAAAGTATAATCTTTCAAATGGAATTATCTAATCATCTTATAAGTGTATCAAGTGTGTATTCTTTTATCAGTTGTCAGGGTTTGTTTTGTTAGTTCTATGAATGGCTCAGCTAAACAGGCCAATAAGACTATTAACTATTATTCATTTTAATTATACTAATGTCTAATTAACTTAACTACAAATGTATAAAACTGATCACAGATCAGGTAAAGCCCACAGACACTTGTTCAATGGTTCTCAGTAGGGGTGGTTAATCTGTCTGATTTCCCGATTCGATTCGATTACGATTATTGAAGTCCCGATTCGATTACAGTCGATTTTCGATTATTAACGATTCTCGGTTAGTGATTATTGATTTTCCATTTCACAACAGTAAATGAAAATACACTACAAAGTGATTGCAGTATTAAAAAAAGTCAGCTGCTGAATTACTTAACTCTTTTATTGAGTAACAACAACTCAAAGCACTTTCTGTGTCGTGTATGTAGCTTATGTTCTGTAGAACATGAATACATCACATTGTGTTGTGACTCATCAAGTTGAACTAAACAATAACAAATAAATGAAAGGCTTATTTCCTTTAGGAAGTAGATCAGAACCAACATACTGTAGAAATTGGACAATTTTCTTCTAGAAAGACAAGGTGTTGTTCAGGTGGAGGAAGACTGCAGGTTGCAGTCGAAACATGTCAAGGTAAAGAAAAAGTTTTTTCTCCACCTGAACACCTTGTCTTTCTAGAAGAAAATTGTCCAATTTAATCATTAAGAAGACAAAATGAACATTTTTGAACAGCTTACTGTAGCTTCAGCTTATATACTGTATACTGTAGAACACAGTGACAAAATGCAACACACTAACTAGACAGGCCTTTATAATTTAGTGATATGTTGTTCTTTGAGTGTAGGCCTAAAGTCTCTAATCTCTAAAAATCTCCAAATGCTCGACGTGAAACTGCGGTCTTCCGTCCGACCTTTTACTATCGTGTCAATTGATTTTGATATGCGCGAGGGAGAGAGAGACCAAGACAGCGCTCGTGTTGTTTGAAGACGTGAGAGTGCGCGCGCGCGGCCGGGGCTCTCTCTCTCTCTGCTCGCGGCTGTCAAGCGCAGCAGTCATTTTTTTCTACATCATTCACCGATCAAAAAAGGCTTTGGCGGGACAAAAATGTGCTTTGGTGGCCATATAAAACGAATCGGTTACCTAACGTAACCTCGGTTCTCTCTAGAAGAGGGAACGAGTATTGCGTAAGCTAGCTTACGCTGCGAGAAAGATTCATCTTTGCTGAGATATTGAAGCCAAAAATTATTTCATAATTTGTATCCATACACAACGCAGTTCCTCTGCGGCAGACCTAGAGCAGGCTAGCTAGCAGCCCATTGGTTCGCTCAGAGAGAACTGCTTAAGCCTATGGGAGAGCGGGGCTGAACCCGCTTCCAATGAGAGGCGCCCGCGCGCTCATTGCGTCATGGCCCGCCAGAATGGGCGTGGCCATGGTGTATATAACAGTCTCTCCCAGGCTTATATGTTGATTTATTTCAGCGTGAAGCGAAACGCTAGTAGCGCAAGCACGGCCGGGAACGCAATACTCGTTCCCTCTTCTAGAGAGAACCGAGGTTACGTTAGGTAACCGATTCGTTCTCTTACGAGAGGTTCTCTCGTATTGCGTAAGCTAGCTTACGCTGCGGGAACACCTGGTCAACGCCGTGCGCGCTATGAATCCACTCATGAATCCCAGGGTGATACCGGAGGATTTTTAACGTGGAGTGAATGTATTATGAGGCCGGCAGAGCGGGCACATGAAGTGTATAAGCATTTAAGGAGAGCACACGGGGCGAACCGGTTGTGTGAGGGACTCCCAGTAATGCAGCTTCTTAGAGAGCTGGTCGTTAGACAGCTAGTAATTTTGCCTGCAAGGCGGGAACTTCCAAGTTGTAAAATCTGACAAAAGTGGACGGGGAGGTCCATCCCGCGGCCACACAAATGTCATGAATGGAAATTCCACAGGACCATGCCCACGATGAGGCCATGCCTCTAGTGGAGTGCGCCCTGATGCCCAGAGGGCAGGGCAGGCATTTAGATGCGTAAGCAGAGGCGATAGCGTCTACTATCCATCTAGACAGTGTCTGTTTAGAGGCGGCCAGACCTTTGGTGCGCCCCCCAAACGACACGAAAAGCTGCTCAGCGCGTCTGAACGCGGCAGCGCGCGTAGTGTACAATCTCAGAGCCCGCACCGGGCAGAGGAGATTGGCGTCGCGCTCACTATCGGATGAAGGCAGAGCCGATAGGGAAATAATCTGAGCCCTGAACGGGGTACCAATCGCCTTCGGGACATAGCCATGTCTAGGTTTGAGAATGACAACAGAATCATTCGGACCAAACTCGAGACACGCGGCGCTGGATGAGAGCGCGTGAAGATCCCCCACGCGTTTTACTGAGGACAGAGCCGTCAGAAAAACGGTTTTGAGCGAGAGGTATTTTAGGTCCACAGACTCGAGCGGTTCGAACGGGGGTGCTTTCATAGCTTCGAGAAATGGAAGCTCTAGCGTTAAGTTCTGCCAGGAAGACTCAATTGCTACGTCACTTATTACCTTCTCATCTATCCAATCGTGTCTAAGACTTGTGGTATAAAAGACCAGTACTTACACATGTCTGAGTTCGCAGATGCTGACGCTTTCATGCAGCTCTCGTTCAGTCGCCAGCCAACATGTTTCAGGACACGCATATTGTTCTATTATTGAGTTCCGACGATGGATATGTCCCGCCGTATCTCCTGCTACACGTCGAGGTTCCCGCGTTCAGTGCCGCATCTCCCCGTATGCACAGTGGTCTTCGGAGAGTTTTTGATGATCAGCCAAGGCCCTTCATGAGAAGTTCTGCTCTCTAGGCCTAAAACACCCTGGGTAACCAATCAGTTTCCATTTTCACGTCATCAAACGCCTCAACAGCGTCAGCTCAGTCAGGATAATCCGGCAGGAAGAGAACTATGTCATTCTCAACAACTTGTCCAGCAAAAGAACCTCGCTGTCTGCACGGGTGCATTATCCCGCAGATCACCGATCCACCGACATGAATCAACAACTCTGCAAATCACGAGAGGCGATCTTCTCTCGCTGGTTCAAGTTCAAGCTCCACTTCCAAGGCTTTCAAGTCGGTTTTTCAAGTTTGGTAGGCGCTTCCACCAGCCACTGTTAATATGTCCCCTCTATCATGATTAAACTTCATCCAGGTAAGTATTTCTCCGTTGCTTCCTACACCAGCGGCAGAGTTCAAATTGGTGTCCACGGTGACGTGGCGTACGTGTTCATAATTACTAACGTTACTGATCTGCAGACTGCAATGGGGCCGGTTAGCTCGCCTTAAAGGGGAAATGTTCATAGCAAGTGTAAGCAAGTTTCGCGTCACCGCCACAGTACAGTGATCTAATAATATCAGCGTTGTCAAAACACCCGCAATGTTGGAAACTGCACAATGTATTATTTTTACAATGGAGATGAACGTTCCTGTAAACTGTGCAATTGTTGAAAAAAAAAAAAATATATATATATATATATATATATATATATAATATATATATCAGCGTTGTCGATACCACGCTCTCGTGGGCAGTTTGCAAATACCCACTAACAACTGAGTAACTGATTTAAAAAAAAAAAAAAAAAAACCTGACCTAAAGAGGGCAAGTTGTTCATTTGGCTGTTATGC